CTTAGGATAAATTATCCAATAGGCAGATAGTGCTGTCTACATTTGATTTACATTGCGGGGGAGGCGCTACTGCATCCCCCCCCGCTTTTTTAAATCTAATTGCTAATACCCCCTGCACTACCTATATTGCTACCACTACCACCTCTACCACCCTACGAATCCTACCACAGTCACCACAACTATTATCTTCTATGCGTTGACGCTGCCACAAAGGTGGATGATAAGGCCCGCCTTCGCCTAGCGTGATAGCCAAAAACCTTCGATTAGTAGGAAATGCTGTGCGCTACCCCTATTGCTTCCATCACTACTACTATTGCTATTGCTTTTACTACCTCTATTTCTATTTACACTACTACCACTATTACTACCACTTCTGCTTCTACTTCTACTTCTACCACTACCACTACGACGACTATTACTACTACTAGTACTACTTCTACTATATTACTATTATCACTGCTACTTCCACTACGATTACCAGTACTACTACTACTATATTACTACTATACTATTCTACTAAACCACTACCATACTACTACTATACTATACTTCTATACTATTACTACTACTACTACTACGACTACGACGACTACTACTATACTACTACTACGACGACGACTACGACGACTACGACGACTACGACTACGACTACTACTCCTGTCCTTTCCCCCTTCTAATTTTCTTCGCTGTGAATATTTTGTTCGATCCTCTTCTTTTTTTGATCCCTCTTGAGTATGTATTTTTTGATGCTGATCTTGTATATTTTTGATCCCTCACCCATTGCTGAAGGTGTGTAACCGATGCTTTTCGCATCGGAGCTTGGGTATTGATGCCGTTGCAGGGTGCCGCTGCCAGAGCTGTTGCAGGGCGTCATTGCGCTTGAGAGTTTGGTTGCAGGGCGCCGCTGTTGTGTGCGTTTCGAAGCTTGGGTGGTGGCGCCGCCGGAATGCGCCTCGGCTTGGGTGTATTGTTCTGTACGGCGCCGTTGCTATGTGGCCTTGGGTGCTTGGGATACCATCGCAATACGACCGAGACACCAACATCACATGACCGGGACACCATCACAACATGACCGAATCACCACCATCGCATGACCGACCATCTCACCATGACCGGGACACCATCGCAACATGACCCGGACACCATCACAACACGACCGGGCCGTCGCAACATGACCGGAACAGGCTCATAGTTTGACTGGGATACCGTCCGCCCACCAGCTCTGATGCCTGTTAATATGCAAGACCCCATATTGTGGCTATCCGGAAATAGAAAAATACATGCATATATATATATACATATTTATGATAAACCCAAATAATAGTTAGTATAGATTATCATATTATTTTTCTTTCCTACAAAAAATTGAAGATTTTTCAACAGGTCGAAATTTTCTGAAAAATATATTTATTTTTAGAAACATGTATAATAAACAAAATATTAAACATTTTTTGTATATTAAAGAAATAATATTTGTAATATATAAGTAAATCAAATATGTAATAAGTATTATACAAAAAACGACATACAAAATATGTAATATATAGTAATATATATATATATATTTATGCTTTTATTCTATGTTTTCAATATAAAAACAAAATAATGATAATGTTATGTTTTTATTGTTCTTATTTCAAAAAATGAATATTTTTGTGCTTTTTAGTTTTACATATCTATATCTCTATAGTTGTTCTTTAAATAAAATATATTGAAATAATTGAATTAAGATTTGTTTTTTAGGTCGATTTATATTAGTCTATTCTATTAATAATCTGATAAATATTACATCTATATATTAAATCATTCTTTTGTATTAAATATGTGTACTAAATATGGTTGATTTTTTAAATATTAATATATATTGAAATGATATGTTTATGGATTTTTTGTTTATATATTCTTTTTTTCATGAAAATTATATGTTTACGATATGTAAAATTTTATATGTTTTTATATTCTTGTACTATTATATATTTGTATTTTGTAAAAAAGATAATATTTTCTTTTTCATATGTGTATCTATAACTTTCATATTTCATATTTATTAGAATTTCATTTCTTTTTTATAATGATATTAGAAGGCAATATATATATATATCTATTATATATTCTTACGAAATATATATATATATATACGCAATGACGCCTGTTATTTCGCTTAAAATAGATTTTTATTCATCTCTAAATATTAAATTTCAATCAGAAAATGTATATTAATGTCTTATCTAATTATATTTTCATCACATTAAAATCTATTTATATATTAATATCTTTATGTTTCTTTTGTTTCATTGGCATTCATGATTCTTCTTTCGTTTTTTTTGATGTCCTTTTCTCTTTTTTGTCGGCATTGTCCTATCGTTTTTTATTTTTTTATCGTATAAATATACATTGAAATGACAAT